CTTGGGGGCAAGGCAGGTGATCTTAACTGACATGCTCCTGGATGGAAACTGCTATCCTGAGAAAGAACCAGAGCAGCAAGTTTCTTCTGTTAATCATCAAAAATGAGCATTCTGGGACCACTCAACAAGTGTGCACACCTAGCCCTTTACCCCCATTCCTGAAAATCTTCAACTGTGCATAAAGCCCCTAGACAACGGCACAACTGCCGCCTCTTGCCCCCTCCTGGTGTGAGCCAGGAGCTCTGTCCTCTCACTCGATCTCTAAGTAAAAGCCTCTCCCTGGCTCTCCTACCTTGAGTGTTTGCGAAGTTCATTCTTTGGTTCCGTGAACAAGAACCCTGGTATCACAGCCACAAAAAATGAGGAGACTATATATTGAAAATAAATAGCATCAAAGGTATATAAGTGAAAACTGGAGGATGCAGAATGTGTGGCTAACACTTATGTAACATTTGTGTGAAGGGGGAGAAAATAGCACGTGTTTGACTTCTTGTCTCTGCATAAAATCCTTGAAAGGTTACAGCAACCTTCACTGAGTCCAAGGAGGAGAACTAATGGTGGCAGACGGGGTGAAAGGACATTTCACTATATATACTCTTACCTTTTGAATTGTGGAGCACATGAATGTGTGATCTATTAAAAATAAATGAAATTTGAAACTCCCCTTTTGTACCATCTCAATGTACTTTTTTTTTAAAGTACACCTGCTAGGTCATTATAAAATAATAATAACTTGCATGTTGATCTACATAGCCTCTGAATTCAGACTGTGCTCTGATATAATCTTTTAATGTGAAACATGCATTTTGCTACATTAATATGCCTCTAGATTACACATTGTATTTCTCACCCATATACTCCTTTTAAATGTCTCTTTGTAAAAAAAGAATCTGAAAAGAAGACACCAAAATGTTAACAGTAGTTATTTCTGGGTAGTTGACATATAAGTGATTTTAATTTTCTTCTTTATGCTTTTCTTCTGTCCCTGCTCTCCCCCCAAATTTTTTATGATAAAGGTATATTGCTATTAATAATCAGGACGAAACCACATATGCTCCCCGCCCACCCCCCAGAGGGTAAGCTCAGTCCCTCCTGACTCCTGTCAAGGGCCCCTCTGTGTTTCCATCCTCTTCCGCATTGCCGTCCCCTTCCCGCCCGGGACATTGAACAAGGCCTCTCGGCTGTTCTCCCCTGTCTTACGGAAATGTGAATCAGCCTTTACAGTCCAGCTCAAATGTCCCCCGTCCCAGACAGAATAGGTGGCACCCTCTGCTGTGCCCAGGGAGCCCACTGTCTCCGCCTGGATGGGATTCCTCCTGTGTGTGGCCCTTGTCTCAGGCGTCACTGAGCTCCCAGGTGCAGCCAGGCCCTGACTCTCTCAGAAGTAAGTCCCCCGTGGCTTCCTCCACCCTGTGCGAGCTGGAGGTGCTAGGAGAGTCACTGCCCGCTTCTCACTTCCCGTCGGTGTCTGTTTTCTGCTTGCGTTTCTGGGGCGCGCTCTTGGTGCTTGCTGGACCTGGCTGTGGTCCTCACCCCTCTCCTGGCAGGGTCCTCTACCTCGTGGCATTCTTCAGGCGAGCTGCGTCTGCCAAACCGGTGATGGGTACTGGACTGACCCCCAGGGGCAAGGGCTCTCCCAGGATGGCTGGTTGCCCAGGCGAGGAGAGGAAGCAGAGGTCCTTTCTCACGTCCAGAAGAGAAAGGGGGTGCTGGGAGATCAGGTGATATTTGCTCCAGAGACTTCCACACACCCCTTCCCCGCCCCCAGGAGCCTTTAGTTCTGACCTCCTGTCCCTCTCCAGGGACAAATGGCCAGGAGGGGAGGGGATTGGAGCAAGGTCCCACCAGCGCTCTCCTTGCCTGGAGGACTCCAGACTGTTTCCTGCCTTGTCGTCTAATTCATGCAGAGGAACAGAGGTGCCAGAGAATCCCACTCCTTCCCAATTTCTCAGACGGTGGAGACCCAGTGATTCACGACCTGCCCCCACCCTCGTTTCTCACCAAGCCCTGCTCCTGTTCACATGGAAGCAGAACTAAAGGCAATGGCAGAGAGGAGCAGATGTCAAATGCCTCTCCTGTCTTTTTGTGCCCTGGCTTAAGAAGCACCAATGGAGACTGCCCCCGACTCCGGCCGCTACTGCTCTCATGTTGTCATTTTCCCAAGGAGATTTCCCCAGAGCACAGTCCCAGCTTGAGAGCTTGGACACGTGGTTCCATGGGCAATGGAACCTCCAGATGAGAGCACCAGGCAGGCCTGGATGGGGCGGGCACACAGCCCTGGATGGACACAGGCAGCTACCTGTGAAGTCTAGACTTAAAAGTCTCCCCAGGTTCAAAAGCCTTCCTTTAATGAGCACTAATGGCTAATATTTACTGAGTACTTAATATGTGTCAGACATGTTCTGAGTGTTTTTCTCTGTGCCCGGAAATGGGTACACTTATTATATGTTTTACACATGAGGAAACTGAGGCACAGGGAGGTGAAACAGGTGGCCAGAGGTTGCTCAGCTATGAGGGATCTACCCAGGATTTGAACCACTGGCTCCGCAGTCTGTGCTCCTAGCCCTGAGGCTCTCCTGCCAGAGGAGGGGCCTCCACCCCATCTCACGGTACCTCTTACTTGCAGCAGCCTGTGAAGTGAAGCGCACCTGTTCCCGTGCAGGGCCCCAGGTGTGCCTCGTCCTCCTCCTGGGCATGAACTGGTTTATCAGACCCTCCCCCCGAGGGAGTTGGCCATGGGCTTGTTGAGGTGGGGAGCAAAACGGAGCCTCTAAAGAGGGCATGAGGGCCAAGAGAGAGGGGAGAGGGGCCTTTTTTGCTGCTGGAGGGTGGTGAGGAAGAACAGCGAGCAGCCCCAGCTCACAGAGACAATTCCAGGGAAAGAAGACCCAGGCACAGCGCGGGCAGGAAGGGCCCAGTCTGGGTGGGCGTAAGGTGTGTGCTTCTGGAGTGGGGGAAGGGGCTTGCGAGTGGAGCGAACAGGTTGTGGAGTGGCGGAAACAGCCCTCCAGGTTCAGGGTTGGGCTTCAGGGTTCTGCAGGCCACAGCCTGACCCCTGGCCCTCTGAGGGCCCCAGGCCACTCCATCCGAGTGCAGGGTCACGATTCCGAATGCTAACCCACCATGCCCAGCCCAGCCCGTGGCTTCCCCGCAGAGCGAAGGGGTTCTGTGCTGGCTGGATGCTGCTGGGAGCCCTTTGCTGGCATCGCCCAAAAACAGAACTGGCTTCTTCCACAGGCACCGGCTGCCTGCTCAGTCGGTCTCCGCAGAGGGGTGGACCAGATCCCCCTGCCGCGCCTCAGCACCCCCGCCACCTCCTCTTGACCGCGCTCAGCGGGGCTGGCACTAGCTGTGCCACAGGGATTCCTGATGCCTGCAGCCTTGGGCCTCCCCCGACCTGGAGCCTCAGGCATTCATTCCTTTGAGTCCTTCCAGACCCTCTGGGCACTGCTTTTCAAGCCTTTGTTTGCTTCACAATTGCTTCTGAGTGAATTTCAAATGCAGATTCCCAGAGTTTACCCCAGAGATTCGGCTGCTGGAGGTCCGGGGTGGGGCCCAGGACTCACCATCCTCAGCAAACCCCATGTAATTCCAAAGCAGGTGGGTCCTGATGCTCACAGCTCCGAGAACCCCGCTCCATCGCAGCTCAGGATCTCAGCGGGGTCCCTCTCTGAGGGGTGAGGGAGGGTCCCTCATCATTGATTCTCAGGTTCTTCTCTTGGGTTTAAAATGTTCTAAAGGGCAACTGGCAGACTTTCTCAGGCTACAGATCTGTTGTTTGTTTTCCGAGGCTCCGGGCTGCTTCTCCTCGATTTCACTCCACACGCAAGAGGTAGGCGAGGGCAGAGGCCGCTTCTCGGGGTCTTGGTAGGGGCCTGGGGCACACCCGTGTTTTCAGAGCAGGCTGCTGCTCTTTTGGTTGAAGCGTTTCTCAGCCTCTGGGCCAGTTGCCTCAGAATCACCTGTGTTATTCGGCAAAAATTGGCAAAAATGCAGATTTCTGTCCCCCAAACCCTGACTTACTGAATTAGAATGGGGCAAGAGAGGATTGGGCCCCAAATTCTGCGTCCTTAGCCAGCAGCCTGGTCAGTCCATGTGCATGTGAACGTTTGAGAAATCTTGCTGTAGAACATGAACTTTGGAGTGTCACAGACCTGGGTTCAAATCCCAGCTCCGCCCAGAAGCTGTGTGGTCTGCAAGCAGTTCCTAAACCTCTCGGAGATGCAGTTTCCCCACCTTTGAGAAACGGGGCCCTACCCCTGCCTCTTGCTCTTGCTGTGAGTATTAAATCAAACCAGGATAAAACTGATGCAAAGTGCTTGACACCTAGGAAACACTTTACAGAGACACCCGGCCTAGTGATAGACAGAGGTTTGCGTGACAAATGCATCCCTGAGAGGGGGGAGCTTTGCGTTGGGAATTCACCACAAGGCAATACTAAGCTGCTTTAAAACAATTCTGGCCTTTCATTTCCTCTGCGGTGAGCTCAGATCAAGCTTCGCGTGGGGCCCGGGTCCGTTCCCATCCTCCGGTGGGAGCCATCCCAAGTTGGAGTGAAGCATCGTAAACAAAATACCATTCCGTTTTGGCGCCATAACCCCTAGCCAAGCCCGCTGTCCGCCAGCCCCTTCTCACCCCATTTTCTCTGCCCTGCTCCTCAGGCTGTGGGGCAAGGCCCTCTCGGCGACCGCAGGTGCGCCAGGGACCCTGGCCCTTTAGCCTGGCAGCTGGCTGCCAGGAGTGGGGCGTCTCCAAGGCCTTCCTTCCTCGGCTCCCCTGGTCTGGCAGATCCAAAGAAACACCAAAGCTTTTGAAAAGCTTCAGCCATTCATGACAGGTCAACTCGCTCCGGAAACGTTCCCCAGCTCTGCTGAAAGCCTGCCAGGCGACTTGGTGACGTCCTGCTCTCGGCCCACACAATGGGCACTGGCAGAACAATGTCGAGTAGGAAAAACATCCCGCCTGTCCACGGGCTCACATCCTCCTGGGACCCCGTCCTGAGAGAGGCAAGCGAATGCTGGAGCAGCTGTGCAGGAGGGGAAGGCGGCCGCATTCTGAACCTGCTGGGCCAGTCAGATTAGAAGTCAAATCCGCTTATTCTGGCTCCCCCGCCAGCCCCAGGGCCACTGCCTAATAGCCTGGACACTGGGGCTTAAAACCTGGGAAACAAAACAGTTCGGAGGGCAGTGAGACAGGTAGGCGTACCTGGGGGAGGCCATGCTTTGTCACTTAACTAACCATACCCAAGGGGTTAAACCTCCCAGGGCTTCAGTTTCCACATCCATGGAATGGGGTAATCGCACGTGCCCTGTCTACCTCACAGGATGGTTTCAGCACAAACTGGGCTAGTGTGCATGAAAGTGCCTCAATAATTATAAGGGAATCACTTGCTCACCAACCGGTTTCAACACCCTAACCAAGCAACTGAGGGGTGGGGTGGCCTGCCTGGGGGTATCACACCCAAGAGGGCATGGCCCCCTTCACCCAGGCAGAGACCTGAGTTTACAAGCCAGGGAAGAGACCTCACAGATGCTAAAAATCTGAGTGCAGACGACAGGCCGTCAGAATTTCTAGAGAGTCAGGCTTTTGGGGTGGGACTGGTTTGGAGTGGGGGATGTTGCCTGGGAGTCACATTTCCATGCTAAGCTCTCCGTTTTTACTTAGGTTGTGTATATTTGGGCAGCCTTTTGGGTGATGGAGCTTATGAGGGGCTAAGGCCCCCTGAACCCCTTGCATCCGCACTGGTGTAGGCCTACCTGGTGCCACAGAACTGAGCACATAAAGAGTGTACATGGGGTTGACCAAGAAATGCCTCCTGGAGGAGAAGAGTTCGAAGCATGCTTGGAAAGAGGAGAGTAGGAATGGCTCGTACAAGCCGGAGAGGCTGATGTAAACTTGGGGGCAGGGAGGACACTCGGAGGGCACCTTGGTACCATGAGTGCCCCTTCGTAACCGGGACAGGAGTTCCAGCAAGGGCGGCGCCTGCCTGTGGTGCGGTGAGTCTGACCTGCGGAGGGAATGGAAGGCCAGGCCGAGGGACCTCAACAGACAGCTTTACCACGTGCCTATAAATGGGTGCTCCTGTCTAAAGGGGCCTGAGCTCAAGGCATGGGGTGGTCTGGGGTGCTCGCTGCTACCGGGAAAGGAAGGGGAGGATGGGGGAAGGGTGGGTTCCAGCAGGTTCCTAATGTAGCAGATGTTTCATTTTTATGCCAATCCGCTTTCATTCACAGCTATGGACTGAGCCTAGAGGGCAGGGGGCCAACTCCCTTTCTGAGGCTTTTGTAAAATTGATAGGTTTGCAGGGACTGAGGAAAGGGGCAAGTCCTCTGGGCAGGCGGCTCACACCCTCTGGGATTATCACCACTGCATCTGGGAGATGCAGATAACAGCGTCCACTTGGAAGCCACTATTGTTATTTCTGCCATCAGCTTATCTCTCCCTGAACAGACTGTGAGTTCCTTGAGGCGGGAGCACTGTTTACTTCTTTCTGAATCTTTAGTGTTCCACAGAGTGGTTAGGGCTGAGGAAATTTCTAATACGTCTGTTAAACTAAAAAAAAAACTTAATTTAGATGTTAAGTTCACAGCAGTTTGCTTAACACATCTACCTGTTAGGATAAGGGACATCAGAATTCTCAAACTCTAGTGGCCGACTGGGAAGATGGGTGACTCTCCACGGACAGAAGGGCTGGTTTTCATTCCTGTGCCCCATACAACCCTTCCTCCCTCCAGTGAGAAACCTTCTCTCTGGTCATAACACTATGAAAACAGGGGTGAGAGGTGCCTTCTTCTGCCCTGGGGGCAGATGATGTCAGAGATAACCCATGTGGCTCTTTCTATGTGGCCACTAAATTCTGAGTGCTTTCCATGCATTAACTCATTTAATGTCCACATTAATCCTAAGATCACCCTATTTTACAGATGGAGAAACTGAGGCACAGAGTTCCTGTTATATGGTCCCAACCACTAGGAAGTGGTGAAGCCAGGATTCACTCCGAGGCTGAGATGTGCCCTTGACCTTCACCCTGCACTGCCTCTACTGCTTATTGAATCCCCTATACCTTCTCTGTACTGTCCGTTACCAAGTGGGACACTTGGCTGGAGGTGTAGAATCGCAGGGGCTTGAGGGGAACTTGCCAAGCCATCTGCCCAAGGCAGGAAACAGGTCTGGGCCCAAACCCTGGGGCCCATTCCCACTTATCAGCTCCAGCCTTGGGAATCCCAGGACGGATCCCACTCCCCAGAGTCAGTCCCACGTCTGGAAATGTCAAGGTAGCCTGGCCTCGAAGCCAGAGGCCTGACTGGGAGACTGCCCCGAGCGTACTGGAATCCAGGAGAAGGGCATTTGCAACCCCGGAACCACGGCTCGCCACATTCTTCTCCGCTTCTCGGAGGAGCGCTTCTCCCCTGTGGGCCATACATCGCCGCCCTGCTTGGCAGAGAAGAGACCCAAGGTCATGGTCAGATGAGGTGCAGACCTGGCAGATCCCAGTGGCCCCTTCCTCCATGATCTCCTAAGACTTACCAGTGGCAGCGAGGGCCCTGGAGTTCCCAAGCGCTCTCTGGGCCCGGCTTGGAGTGCTCAGTGCCTCAGAAGGCCGCCGACCCTCGCGAGTAACGCCTGTGACCCAGTGCTTTTTATCAGCAACTCTCTTTCCATGTTTACTTCCCCAGTTAGGTTTAAAGTTCTGTGGAGACAGAACTCTGGGCTGAGGTCATCTTAAAGTCTTGCAAAATCTTTTAGGTAAAATGTGCTTGATACATTCTTGCTGATTGAGATCTTAACAATCTGAAGAATGCAAGAAAAGAAAATGTATGGTCCGATTTTAATGCCAGGACTGGGATCCCTGGGGGAGAAAGGGAACTGGGATTCCTGCAGTGAGAGAAGGGGGTGGGCCTGTGCCGAGGGATGTTAATGCCCCCGCTTACTGGGCACTCTGTGTCAGGCCCCTTACGGGCATTCTCTCAGGAGCCCTCACAGCTCCGTGAAAGAGATGTTGTCACCATTTTCACTTCACAGAGAAGGAAATGGAGGCCCAGAGAGGTTAAGTAACATGCTCTAGATGACACAGCTTGCAAGCAGCAGAACTGGGACTTGAATCCAGGTCTGTGTATCTTGGAGCTCTGGATGTGCAGGGAACCCAGGACCCAGCTGATCCCTCCTCCAGGGAAAACGTGGAAAGCATTAAAAGTTTTTGTTGTGTCTGAAATATAGAAACTTGATGAATTTAGAAAGAATAACTAATGGTCAACTCCCCTTCCCCCAAGGAACTGAGAGCTCATGAGAGGAAGCAAAGACCACATCCTAAGTGATCTGAGACTCTGAGCTTCTGCAAGTAGGGTCTGAGCCAGAGCCAGGGTCAAGTGTGCATCTCGGGTACTGGAAAGAGCCTGGCTCATAGTCAGGAACTGGCATATGAATAATGATGGCCCGGCTTGGAGTGCTCAGTGCCTCAGAAGGCCGCCGACCCTCGCGAGTAACGCCTGTGACCCAGTGCTTTTTATCAGCAACTCTCTTTCCATGTTTACTTCCCCAGTTAGGTTTAAAGTTCTGTGGAGACAGAACTCTGGGCTGAGGTCATCTTAAAGTCTTGCAAAATCTTTTAGGTAAAATGTGCTTGATACATTCTTGCTGATTGAGATCTTAACAATCTGAAGAATGCAAGAAAAGAAAATGTATGGTCCGATTTTAATGCAGGACTGGGATCCCTGGGGGAGAAAGGGAACTGGGATTCCTGCAGTGAGAGAAGGGGGTGGGCCTGTGCCGAGGGATGTTAATGCCCCCGCTTACTGGGCACTCTGTGTCAGGCCCCTTACGGGCATTCTCTCAGGAGCCCTCACAGCTCCGTGAAAGAGATGTTGTCACCATTTTCACTTCACAGAGAAGGAAATGGAGGCCCAGAGAGGTTAAGTAACATGCTCTAGATGACACAGCTTGCAAGCAGCAGAACTGGGACTTGAATCCAGGTCTGTGTATCTTGGAGCTCTGGATGTGCAGGGAACCCAGGACCCAGCTGATCCCTCCTCCAGGGAAAACGTGGAAAGCATTAAAAGTTTTTGTTGTGTCTGAAATATAGAAACTTGATGAATTTAGAAAGAATAACTAATGGTCAACTCCCCTTCCCCCAAGGAACTGAGAGCTCATGAGAGGAAGCAAAGACCACATCCTAAGTGATCTGAGACTCTGAGCTTCTGCAAGTAGGGTCTGAGCCAGAGCCAGGGTCAAGTGTGCATCTCGGGTACTGGAAAGAGCCTGGCTCATAGTCAGGAACTGGCATATGAATAATGAATAAGTGAGGGAAGGAGGAGGCAGGAAGATGAGAAACTGGGCTAGAAGATTCCACCAGAGAGAAGTGCTGGCTGCATTCAGGGGGGCAGAGCCACATACCCACAGGTTCTGGCTGAATCCCCCGCCCATGCAACAGCTGCCGCAGTGCCCCGCCTGTGCGGCCGCGGCTGCTAGGAAATTGGGGGGGGGGCGGTGCAGAGGAAAGGGGCACCTGGCATCAGGAGAACTTGTCGGGATTTGAGACTTGGGGAGGAGAGGCTGCAAAACCTCCTTCCTTAGGGAAGAGGCCAGGTGAATGACTGCTCTGGGGTAAGTGTTCCTCAGAGTCACCCCAGGAAGAAGGAGGAGGTGAGGGGCAGAAAGGGGGAGTAGGAGAGGGGGGAGGGAGAGAGAGGGGTAGAAGAAGAGGGCAGAGGAAAGGAGAGGAGGAAAGGCTGATGCACCTAGAAGGCAGAGCTGCCCTGTGCCCTGCATCCTGCAGAGTTGGTGCACTCGGCAGAGGCCGGACGCTGACCGCCAGGATGAATGCCAGCCAGCCGCAGCGCCGGGGCAGGAAGCGGGGCCCCAGTGCCCAATGCTGCCCTTGGAGTTGGTGGATGGTGGGAGGTGCAGAGGGTCCAGAGGGGTGCTGGGTGCTGGTGAGGGACACGTGGTGGTGACAGTGACTTTTGGCCAATACTCTGCTGCCTGCTGGCTGCCTGTCAGCCATGCTTGTAGGTGACCAGAAGGTGAGGGTGCTGCTCCCAGGCCCTGGGAGCCCAGATGCATGTCCTCCGTGCAGACAAGTGGGGAGACTCATCCTGTGCCCGCTGCCCTGCTCAGGTGGGCAGACGTGGCTTCAAATTCTGATAAGTCCCCTTATTCTGTGTGTGGCCAGGCAAGTTCCCTCACCCCCTGGGCTTCAGCCCTCTCTCCAGGAGATGGGGTGAGAGCCCCCCAAAGCCTCCTCCTAGTGGCGGTAAGGGCGGGGGATCCCTCTCCTCCTCCCACAGCCCCCTTGTCATGGGGGCTGACGTCTGTTGGCCTCTCTGAACCTTTAAAATAGAGGGCAGTGACTTCTCACCTCTGAATGAAATCCAGAACCCTCCCCCCGTGCCCTCTAGATCCTACATGAGTGGTTTTCAACTCTGGCTGCACATTAGGGTCATCTGGGGAGCTTTGAAAAAACTACTGATGCCTACTTCCACTGCCAGAAAATCCAGTGAATTGATCTGAGCTGGACCCGGGCATCAGCGCTTCCTAAATGCTCCCCAGGGGACCTAACCAGGCGGGCAGCCACCCTGATCCAGCCTGGCTGCCTCCGTGTTAGTCCTCAAGGCCTTTGCTAGAATGCCCTGTCTTGGGGGGACCCACATGGATCCCCGATCTTATCAGAGAGGCAGGCACCATGCTGTATGTGAGCTCCCCACCCCGAGCCATCACATCTCCCCTGATTCTGCTTGATTTTGCTTCATTACATTTCTGACCCCTTGACGTGCTGTGTGTCTATCTAGGTGGTATCCTAAGCTCTGTGACAGCCAGGATGTGGCAGTTCTGTTTGCTGCCCCAGCCTCAGTGCCCCGCACATGCCTGGCACACAGTGGGTGCTTGGCAAAAATCTGTTGAAGGGCCACCTCTGCCAGCAGGTCTGAGCTCCTAGAAGGAGAGGGTGGAAAGTCATGCATCTTGGTGTCCTGACACCTAGCATGGTACCAGGCTGTGACCAATTCACAGACAGAGGGGCTCACAGGGTTGCTGCGGAGTGTCAAGACTGGACACGGGGGTCCAAGCAAAGATGGAGGTGGGAAGATGGGCTGAAAGGGGCTGAGCTGCTCCAGAGGAAGGAAAAGACCAGGTCTGAAAACAGGGTCCCACACTTGGCTGGCCTAGCAGGGCAAAGGGAAGGGTGGGGTAGGGGAGGGCCAGTCCCAGGTCCCACCAGGGTAGGGGATGATGGGGAGCAGGGCTGGCCATGGGAGCTGATGTCTCCCCCAACCCTTACAGCTGCCATCAAATAGAACCATTTGTCAGGCAGCTGCTGCAGACTACAAATACCCCCTGCAAGTGGGCATGGTGCCGGGGAAGGCCAGCGGGGGCTCCAGGCAGTCCTCACCCTTCCCAGGAGCAGCTGGCATAAGTGAGGCCAGAGGGGGAGATGACTCGCTAAAGGATGCTTTTGCCCAGGGACACCAGTGGAATGCAGCAGGTTCCTGTCTGTGAGAGTCATAGAGCAGAAGGGAATGGTGGGGGTGCCTGGATAACAGAGGGCTCCAGGCCCAGGCCCTGTGGTGGCAATCCTCGAAGCCCCCCTGCCCTGGCAGCTCATACCCAGTCACTTGCCCCTCCAGCGCCCTTTCTCCATTGAAGGCCCTTGAGCACTAACGACCTACGCGGTGTGTCTGGCTAAGCACCCCGAGCTTTCTAGGGCAGAAGCTCCAGGTACTGTGATGCTGCCAAATAGACCTCCCAGGTCCCACCTCCCATGTGAGCCCCCACAACAGGGCAGGAAGAGCGGCTGTCCCGGGAAGGCTCTCAAAGGGGCAGGAGACCCCGTGAGCTGCAGGGTCACCAGGGCTGGGACACAGCAGCCTCGCAAGGTGTCCCTGCAAGCAGCGTCCCCCTCGGGTCATTCCCCATGTTGGTCTCCCTGGCTCCTGGGGCTCCACGCTGTCCACACCTCCCCTCTTCTCCTGCCCCTCCTTAAAGACTAAGGGCTGGGGAGACAGACAGACCTGGGATTCTAATTTGCCATGTGACCCTGGGCAAGTTATTTAAGCCCTGGGAAACTCTCACTATCCTCACCAGCAACACAGCAGAAATGGGCTGCTGCAAGGATTAAACGCACTTCCCTGGTAGGGCCCCGCCTATAGCAGGGGGCTTAATAAACATTAGGCCTCCTTCCAAACTCAGGTTAAAAGGCCTGACTCCAATTCCCACTAATGGGTTTCCAGCCCCCACCCTCCCATCAAGCACTAACTGTTCTACAGCTGGGGGACCTCACAAGCAAGGCAGAAGTCCAGGCTGGCAGGGCTGGTATTGGGCTGCGTACAAAGCCCCGGCTCACCCCTCACCTCCATCACCTCGGGAGACCCACTTAACCTCTCGACATTAGCTTCCTCCTCAGGAAATCAGCTACTCCCTCAAGAATGCCAGCAAATTGGGAAGTTCTTATGTCTGATGTAAGGCCCCTGTACAGGTGAGATTGGTGTGGTTTGGGGCCTGGCATCCCCGGGTGGTCCTAGGAGAACAAACCTGGACACTTAATTGGAAAACAGGGCATGATGCCGAGAACTTTGAATGTGTGTGAAAAGAGTTTGTATGGACCCGTGGTGATCTGGGCAGTGGGAGGCGGATTCAAGGTTCACAGCAATTACTGTGTGGTCAAAATCATAGCAGGTTCCGACCCTCATTCTGCTGCCCTGGCCTTGGCCATCCCCCGCGTCAACCCTCTCTTGAACCTCCCTTCCTTCTAAGAAGCCAGGCAACCATTTGCTTGAGGGGGACACAAGAGTCACCTGCAGCAGCCAGAACCCCCAACTCTTCGCTGGGCCTCTCTCTCCCCTCTGCTGCCTGGCCCCACCCTTCAGGCCCCAACGTGGGCCACGGCCAGGATGCAGAAGTTGAGGCTCGGGCCTCCTCTGATCCACCCCGCAACACCCAGAGCTGACACCCAGCCCTGTCTGCAGCGTGCTCCACAGTACAGCAGGGAGGGCCCAGGGCACCCATCCCAGGACCCAGGGCACCCCTCCCAGGGCCCAGGGCAGGTCCAGGGATACAACAAACCAAACTCTCTCTCCACTTTATATATATATAAACGAGCCCCAGCTGTGCTTTCGAGGCTAGGGGAAAGGCCTTTCTTCTCTTCTTTGGCATCAATCTGTCAAAATCAGCTTTTTGTAGACTGCTCGCTCCTTTCCGTACAGCATGAATTAAATATATTATCTGTCTTTGTGCTGAGTCACAGGACATTCACAGTACAGTTGTGGGGGCGTGGAGGGGCCTGTACGAAGGCCAAGAACCCCCAGGGCTGCTCCTCGGGCTGAGGGGTTTGCGGTGGGCAGGGGGCTTCTGTTGAAAGGCCAGGCCGGGCCTCCCCTCCGCCGGGCCATTCAAGATTCAGCCAAAGGGTGAGGTGTCCTTGGGAATCCGACAGGCGGGCTCTGTAGGCCGGTGAGGGCTGCCTTCTCCAGGGGCCGCACCCCTCATACTCCCAGCCCCGGGATCAAAGCCCGTCCCAGCCCAGCCCACCTGCCTCTACCCCGGACTGTGGCATTTAAACACTCCGTCTCACGACCACCCTCTGGGGAGGCTGGCGCCAGGGTCTGGAGCAGCAAGGACAGGCCCACAGAGGCAAGAAGGAGAGGATGGGGAAAGCTGTGCCAGCCCCAAGGAGCCAAGGCCAGCCAGGCACCAGTGTCAGGGTGACCCTGCATATCTGGGTGCTGTCCCCAGCACCCTGGCCCAGGGCTGGCTTATCAGTACTCAGGCGTGACATGCGGGAGCCACTCTCAGGAAAGGGGGGACAGGTAGGCGCGTGGGTCAGAGCCCCAAGGGCAGTGACTGCTCTACCACCTGCCAACATAAGGCAGCCCCATGCAGGCTGGGGAGGTGGGCAGGGGCCAGCTGACCAGGCTATTGTGGACCCAGCCAGGCACCCGGCAGCAGAGGTGGCGGGCAGCGAGGATGGAGGGTGGGATGTTGAGAGAGGGTGGGCTGCTACTCTCACTGCTGCCCCAGGGACACCCTCCCCACACGTAGGGGGTGGGCTCTGGCATACATGCCAGCACCTGGATTCCGGGGTCCCACCCAAGGTGCCATGTTGCTTCCTGCTCCCAGAGGGGAAGAAAGTGAATGGTGTGTGGGCTCCAAGGGCCCATAAGAAGCTCTACCCACCTGGTGAGGCAGGCCAGCCCCCCAGGGGAGGCATAGTGGTGTGTGTGTCCAGGGCACAGTGCCCAGCCTGGCACCTGGACTCTCCTGTCCTCACTGGTGCCCAAGCACCTGAGGCCGGGAGAGCAAGTCCCTCTCAGCCCCCTCACCTCCTCCCAGGGGAGCAGCCCGTGCCCAGTCCCCAGGCGGGTGCTGGAGGGGCTGGTGTCCAGGTGAAGGCCACTGGGGGGGCAGGTAGGAAGCAGGGACAGGGAGGAGCTGGGGCCAGCAGGGCTGCTGGGAGGTCTTCTGGGCTGGGCATCAGCCCTCATTCCTCAGTCCTCCAAGTGCCACACGGGCCTCATCCTGCCCACGATTGGGCTCAGTGTGACCTCCTGTCCCTTGGGCTCAGAAGATGCTCTGCCGCCGGCTCTTCCCTCGTCCTGGGGAATGGAGAGGAAAAGGGGGCACTGCAGGGCAGAGGCAGGGCCAAAAGGTGCCCAAGAAGGGACACCTGAGAAGGGTGTCCTGCTCTGCAGCCCTGACAGAGACAACAAGGCCAGGCCCTCAGGGGCTGGTCAGCCCTGGACCCAGATGTGCTCTGTGACTCACTGCATGAAACTGTGACTTAACCTGCCAGAGCCTCAGTCTCACTGAGTGAGGAATGGGGAGCATTATCATAGTGCCAACACTAAGGGGTGCTTTAGGAGTAAATGAGTAACACAAGGAAAATGTTTGTCACATCCAAGGCCATCAGCTGTTCTAGACACAAAGTCCCGTTCCCCTGGCACGGGGGCTGGAGAGCTCAGAGCAGAGGGCGCACCAGACAGAGCGCATGAGTCTTCCTTGGGGCTGCCAGGTGCAGTGTTCTGTCGGGGGTGGGGGCTGAGGAGGAAGGAGGACGCTTGGGCAGCAAATAGGGAGACCAGTCCCTCCTCTGCTCCCCAGGACCTCCCGGAAGGGAGGCCGGCTGATTCCCAACTGCAGGAGTGGGGCGGGGCCCGTCCCCGTTCTTGAGGAGGAGCCTGCTCTGGTCTCTTCTAACAAGGGGTGGGGGGGGAGACCCAAGCCCCTACCTGGCTGCTGAAAGGCCAGCCCCCGGTAGCCTGGGTCCCTCTGTAGCTGGATCTCCTTCAGGGAGAAGACGGAGGCAGCTGGGGGGAGAGGGGAGGAAGGCAGGGAGAGCTGGGGGGAGCCGGCGGCCCCCATACCCCGGAGCTGCGCACAGAGCAGGGGGCACCCCCGGCGGGACAGCCCCTTCAGTTAGGACTGGCCTGGGAGCCCCTCCCCGGGCCTTTCAGGCAGCGTCTCAGATCCACAGCCTCCCCCAGACACTTACTATCTTCCAGCTGGTGCACGCGCTCTCCTAGACACCGGAAGTAGGGGTGGCTCAGGGCCGCCTCTGCTGACATTCGCCTCTTGGATTCATACTGAAAGGCAAAGGTGGGCTACTGGGCTCTGGCGGGGGGCCGCGGGGACCCCTCTGGGCAGCGCTCCTCCTGTGCTAAGTTAGATGGCCGAGGTGGGAGAGGCCTGAGTCTAACCTCAGAGTCCCTGGCCAGCTGCCACCCAAGGCAGTCTCGGCGCTCAGGCTCCCACGTCTCTAGTCGCTAGAAAGCCAGAAATGGGACTTCCTGAGAGTGAGCTCCTCTTGGGATGGAAATACAGATGCTAAAGCAACCATCATCACAGCATTAATAAGAGTAATATTAATATGCAGTACCAAATACTGCCCTTCGCTGTGAGCTCCCTTGGAGACAGACTCTATACTGTGTTCTGCATTTTCAACTTATCCTCATGACTATTCATTCATCCATTTTGCAGTTGAGGAAACAGGCAGAGAAAATTTCTCCAACTTTCCCGAGGCTATATAGCTGGTAAGTAGGTTTGAGCTGGGGTTTGAGCTTGGCACGCAGGGTGGCATCTTGGGGCTTCACTCTTTGGCTGCCTGCCCCTGGGCACAGCCGGGAGCACACTCACCAGGAGGAGGCCGGACAGGAGACTGATGCCATCAGTGTCCAACCTGCAGGAGGAAGGAGCTGGCATAGGCTTGGCCTGGGCAGGTCGGCGGCGGGGAGAGTCGGGTGTGCGGCCACCTCCAGAGGGTCAGGCAGGACCGCAAGCAGGAGGAGAAGGGAGCGGAGGCAGGCCTACCTGGGAGCGTGGCTGAGGAGCGGCTGGGGAAGGTACCGGGGGAAGTTGTAGGCTCGGAACTCGGACAGGGCCGTCACGCCCGGCCACGTCTCTTCAGTAGGAGTCCCTGGGGAGAGAGGAGGAGGTGGGGGGGACATGGTGAGGGGCCGGGGCCAAGGGCGACTTGAAGGCGCACGTAGGAGGTGGGGGCAGAGACTGGCGCGGACCACGGGTCCCCGCGCTGTTGAGAGGCGGCGGGAGCCCCTTTCCGCGCCCAGGCTGGGCAGAGTGCCCGCTCCCCCTGGTGGTGAGGACGGAGCGTCGGGGGACTGACCGAGGAGTCGAAAGATGAGGTGCAGTTCCTCCTTGACTGTGGAGCCCGGGAACAGGGGCCTCCCGGTGGCCATTTCATAGTGGATGCAGCCCACGCCCCTGCGGCGGGCAAAGGGCAGGGCAGCGTCAGGTTGGGCCTGCTCGCATCCGCCCTTCCTAAGGCTGCCCCGCCAGGGTACCACTGACGGGTGGTGGATCTGGGGTGGGCGAATACGGGCAGTGGAGGCTCCTAACAGCCCAGCCCCCTCCCCACAGCCTTTTTCTGGGGACTTCTCTGCGCTGTAGGATGGTCTGACCACTCTGTGGGGTTCGGGCTGGCCTAGCCAGCACCGCCTGGCTGCTCTGTAAGCAGTTTCACACTTTTTCCATGTGAACCCCCACTGGAAGAGAAGTCCATGAATCCATTCTCCTAGGGACCACAGGGCTCAGTGGGCAGTCACTGGAAACCTGTGCTTCAGCCTTAAATTTTTAAAAAATTATTTTTCATTCTACACCAAATCATATGCATGTTAACTTTAATATAAATAATGGGTCAATATAATATAATAATATAATATCGTTTTGACATAAAAATAATATAGTATTTGCTTCTAAAATTTTCAGGAGAACTGATGCTTGGAGAAGAACTTAATTACTGCGGGGCCCCCCTGTAGCCTCCAGTAGCCCCCTGCACATCCCTGGGGGAATATTTCAGAAGCCTTGGGGAGCCTATTAAGAGCCAGGGAAACCCAGTGTAGTTCGAATTTAATTCTTCCGCATCCAGACCTGCAGGACACTACCTGGTTTCCAGTCAAAGGTCAGGCAGGTTTCACAGAAGCCCCTGGGCCAGCAAAGGGAGCCTGGAGGTGGGGAAGCCCTGCTTCCCTTCAATTCCATGGCGCTCACTCACCACATGTCAATGGGGGTGGAGTACTCTGTGGACCCCAGCAGCACATCGGGCGGCCTGTACCACAGGGTCACAACCTCATTGGAGTAGGTCTTCGTGGGCACGGACTTGGCCCGGGCTAGTCCTAGGGACAGACATGTCACTGCACCCCCTTCCCCAAGGCACCAACCTCCTGAAGGGGCCATGTCAGATCCCCACCTCACTCTAACGGGCCCTCACCGAAGTCAGCCAGCTTCAGCTCCCCCCTGTCGCTGATGAGCAGGTTCTGGGGTTTCAGGTCCCGGTGCAGGATCTTGCGGTGGTGGCAGTAGGCAAGGCCCCGGAGCAGCTGAAACATGAATATCTGGGGAAGGGAGGGAACGATAAGCAATGGGAAGTGGGAGTGCACCCCATCTGGGAGGCCCTGCGCCTCTGCTCCACAGCCAGGACAGGGACAGGGGCAGGGGCTGGGTGGGGCAAGGCCCCTGGACCCTGTCCGCCGCTGGGATGCCGTCCACCAGGGAGGGCACCAGGTGTGTGTGCACGAGCAGCAGTGAGTGGGAGGCCAGAGGATTCTGAGAGCTGGGAGGGACCAGGAAGGGTCAGGCAGCCCACCTGTGTGGGGCTATATGCACAGGATTCTTTATTAAGTACCAGAAGGGGTAATTCATCCAAGCTTCCCCAGAAGCCTCCCTTCATACTGGCAGGTAACTCATGCTCTGATTTGACAGACAGGAAAACTGGTGCTCAGACTCAGCAAGGGGTTTTCTATCACTGCTGGACGCTGGCAGAGTGTGTGCGCACTGGGAGGTGAGGCCCCGGTGCAGTCCCAGACACCCTGAACAGCCCCTTGCCTCCCTTCTACACTGGAAGGTCTAAACAATCAGTCAGGAGCCTGGCGGTGGGAGTAGGTTCCCATGCTGGGCTTGAGAGCAGGGGCATACCCAGGGGTGGGGGGCCTGAGGGTGGGGTCCCTGCTGTGGAGGCCTTCACCTTGACATTGTGCATGCTCATGAGGTTTCCACAGTGGTCCAGATACTGCTTCAGGTCACTGTCCTGAAACACAGAGCCTGGCTCAGCCCTGCCCTGTCCTGACTGACCTCTGGCTGGAAACCCCTCCCTGGGCAGGGCCCAAGGTCAGAAGTGGGGCTCCCAGCGGCCCCTAAGACTGAGCCTTTGGCCCACTCCTGCATGGAGGCATCTGAGAACCTGATTCTAGAACAAGGCCTGGGCCACCCCCACCTGGTCTCCCTAACCCTTTGTCCCCACCCCCACACGGGGAGGAGCCGCCAGCCCCAGCCCAACTCACCAGGTACTCGAACACCAAGGTGAGGGACCGTTCAGTGTGGATGAGGTCATGCAGGGTCACAATGTTGGCGTGCTTCAGGTTCTTCAGTAGAGACACTGTGGGGGGACAGACCCACCGGGGTCCCTGGGGCCACACGCGCACTCTCTTCCTGGGGCCAACCCCAGGAGCACCCCCTTCAGCAATGTCCCTTCAACCCCAGGCTCCAGCTGGGGCTCAGGCCACAAGCCCCTCCTCCCAGGGGCCCCCAGGAGAGCAGGCCCCCAGGATGCCGTACCCTCCCGGATGGCAGTACAGGGCGCCCCCTCCTCGTGCTCCAGTCGGATCTCCTTCAGGGCCACCAGGTTTTCCGTCAGTTTGCTGCGCCCTTTGAAGACCGTTGCGTAGGTGCCCTGGGAAGAACGCCGGCGAGGCAGCCATGCTCAGGACCCCTGTCCTGTACCCCCCTCTGCCCTGTGACCTCCTCTCTGCTAAGGCTGCCCTTGGGCCAGAGCACCCTTCCCCCCTCCTCTCCCTTCACTGAATTCTGTTTCCCCCAAAAGCCCATCCCCCACAGGCCAGGCGTCCCTCTAGGGTAACCCCAGGTTTCTCCCTCCTTATGGTGAAGTGTACAGGTAGGTCTCCTCCTTGGGTTCCTGCCGGGAAGGGCTGTGCCTTCCTCCTCTCTGTCAGCCTCCGCCCACCCCAGCCTCCAACACAAAGCCTGGCGCCGTGTTAACAGAAACAACTGACAGTTACACAGCACCTATTCTGTGCCAGACTTTACCCAAGCTCATTATGGTAACCTAGTCAATCCTAACAACAGCCCCACGAGGCAGAACAATTACAACCTCCTCTGACAAAGGAAGGAGCTAGCAGACAGAGGTCATATCGCTCAGCCAAGGCCACAGGGCTACTAAATGGCAGAGTTGGGAATTTGAACCCAGACAAGAAATACTTGCAGGGAAAAAATATTAGGCTGGCTGCTGCCCAGAGCCCATGGTCCACTCCATCCTCATGCCCTCCTCCAAGACCTCTTTGCACTTCCACACCTGCCCCAGGCTGGGTCAGGCTGCAGGGTGGAGCGCATGCACCTCTGGGGGCAGGGCAGTGGGAGGGCAGGTCAGGGAGGGACCCTGTCCCTCCTAACCATCCTGCCTGGCTGCGCAGAGAACCGAGCCCAGCCCCTTACCTCTCCCAGTTTGTCCAGTTTCACATAGGTTTCCAGTTTCCCAAAGCCGATATCTGACTGAGAGGGAGAAACATATGGTCCTGTGAGCTCAAAGGCCCCCGCGACCGCACATACGTACAGTACACCTCCCCTACCCAGCCTCCGGGAGGGGAGAGAACGAGACCCCCATTGGGAGGCCAACAGGGTAGACAGCCACACAGCGTCCTCTTCACCTCTTCCCTCTGTCGCCATGATAAAGGAAGTAGCCTTTGGATGTGTGAGTTTCCTCTGTCCCTGTCCCTGGGGTACGGAGCCCAGGGCTGTCACTCCTGGGACTGTTGGCCACCTTCATCACCTGTCTGTCTCTGTGTTGTTCAGACTTTAGCCTCCTGAGAGCAGGAAGTTTTTCTCCGCTGCAACTGGAATGTCCAGTTCAGAGCCCACCTGCCCAGTAGCCAGTCTCATCAGCACACTTCCTGCAGCTCAGGGGTACTCAGCCTAACCAACAGATTCCTGGGCCCCACCTAGAGCCTGATTCTGTAGGTGTCTAGAATGGGGAGCACAGTCCATGTTTTGTAAGAAGCTCCCAGGGAGATCTGATAAGCAGCCATGACTAGGAAGTACATGTCATTTGGGCGAATGATCTTACCCCAGTGGAGACCCTGCGGCCCAGACGGGGCTTGGGGCTCAGCCCTGCTGGGACCTGTTGATGGAATGGATATTGACCAAGGGGGGATGAGCTGTAGGAGTCTGCTGTGGCCAGCAGGTGGCACCAGAGGCCCAGAAACTGCTGCAGGCTTGGGGGGCGACTGCAAAACCAGGACGGGTGTAGCCATGCTGGGGACAGGGTGTTCCACTCTCGTGACCTCTGACCCTCTTGGGACTCACCAGGGAAGCTCGGCGGGACATGCGGCTGAGAGGTCTGGGCAGGTCTGGGCTCTCCAGCTGTAGCTTCTGCAGGAATTCCTGGGGCAAGCGGATGTCCATGGGCAGAGAAAGCCTCTTACTGATGTCCTGCAGGGGCCAGGATGAGATGGGGACCCCAGGGTTTGCCCGAGTAACTGGCACTGTGGGACCTTTGTCTCTCAGTCGGAGCCTGGCTTTCCCTGCAGAGCAGCCCCAGCAGGGACCAGACACAGGCTGTGAGCCCAGGCTCCCAGCTATTTCAATGATGTGCTCAGAGACACACCAACACGCAGGGGTTGCTGTGTGACCTTGGGAGATCCTTCCCCTCTCTAGGCCACAGCATCACCACGTGTAGAATGAGATTCCTGCAGACCCTGGAATTCAGTAAGCATATTTTTCATATACCTGGGCACACATATATGGGTCATAAGAACAATAGTCAAATTGTCCAGCCCTTGCTAAGTTGCAGGAATGTTCTAAGCCCATGGCATATATTAACTCATTTCATCTTTACGATGACCATTTTAACACAAGGAGACTGACTTGGTACACAGAAGTTGAGTAACTTGCTGAAGGTCACATGGCCACTCAGTGCAAAGCTGGGATTTTGAGCCCATGAAGTCTGGCTCCAGGGCATCACCTTCCTGGACACACATCTGTGGGTGAATCCTGGATGCCCACAGGTAGAGCCCGGAGCCCCTCACCTCCATGGAGAAGAGGCGCTGGTTTTGCCGCCGGTACTGCATGCCAGGGGACGCCTGCCCAGGGTCCTCCCCACTGTCTGTGGGGGAGAAGGTGCTGGACTCTGGCTGGGGGTCTCTGCCAAGAGGACGGAGCTGCAGGTCTGAGAAGGAGAGGCATCAACTCCCTCCCTGCCCCTCTGCCCCTGCGCCCCAGCCAGGGGAGGGGAGGAGGGTGTACCTCCCCCCTGCTGCCCCGCCAAGGCCGGCAGGGGAGGTGTGGACAGGGAGGGGCTGGCGGAGGCCCCGCCGCTCACCCTCATTGCGCCGGTTGTGGAGCTGGTTGAACTGCTCGGTGAACTCGGCCAGGGACTCCTCGATGGTCTCGGTCCGTGGCACCGACAGGGAAAAGCGGCGCTTGAAGTTCTTCATCTTGTTCATCGTTGGCGGGACCAGGTGCTGAGTCAGAGTGAGGAGAGCAGGTGAGGACAAGAAAATGCGCCATGTTCATCTCCGTCTCCCCATCGAGCCCTGCGGCCCTGCCCTCGTGAGCCACGCTGGCGCCCTGTCCCCCAGAACCTGAGCTCCTGGAGAGGAGGTCCTAACCCTCCTCCTCCCGTGACTCTCACTTCCCAGATCCTCCGCCGCTGGGCATCAGTCAGAGCAGCGAGTAGGGCTCACAATAGCGGGAGGATGTGCCAATAGGACCCTGGAGGCTTCCCCAGGGCCACACAGTAGCCCTCCAGCTGCCAGAAGTCTAGAGAGTTCTGGGAACTGGGCTGGGGTGGCAGGGAGGGCACCAGCACTGGGTGGCCCCCGGGCCAGCAGCTCTCCCAGCTTGTGTGTAAGAGCTTGAATCCATCAACAGCCAGTGAGTGTTCCTGAATGACGCCCCTAAGCTGTAGATCAGCGCTGCCCCACACCCTTGTGACACAGTCATGCCCAAACCCATTTCATCCTGATACTGACACTTGGAGGCCCCTCTCTGGCTTGTTCTGGGTCCCCAGCAGACAGGGAGAGGAAGGGACATGGGAGGGGATGTGTGCATATGAGCTGGCCCAGCCCCATCTCTCCTGCTGAAATGTGGGAGGTCAGGAGCAGCGGAAAGTCTCAGGGGAAACACAGAAGTTCGCTGGAAAGAGAGGGTCCCCAGGGAGGGGAGGCTGCACCCTGCTGGCCCCTCCCGTGCCTGAGCCCCAGTCAGGCAGCCGTGCCCGATGCAGAGAGCCCCGCTAGGGCTCCTTCCTCAGCCAGAGGGGCTCCCCGCCTGCCCGCTGGCCTCCCAGTGAGACTTGTGCAACTGCCTCTTCCCTGCACCCCCCTTAATGATTTCATAAGCTCCCAGCGCAGCAGCCCCTCGTCCTGCTCTGCCCACATCTCCCCAAGCTACAGCGGGGCCAGGACCAAGGGACAAGGGCTCCCCCCCACACCTGCCACAGAGGAGTCAGTGCCAGCCCTGTGATGGGAGGGGCCAGCCTGCACCCTCTCCCAGCTTCTGCCCACGCACCAGGCACAGCCCATTCCCCGGGGATGCTCTCAGCCCTGTCAATGGCCAGTACCCAGTTGCCAAGGCAACCAGACCCCTCCTGAATCCTCATGTCCTCACGGTTTAAGAGATTATGGGTCAGGATCATGTTTGCTTTGCTTAATGATCACATCCTTCTATCCTCAGCCAGCCTGGAAGGGGTCCTTCCCCTGGTCCTGCAGGCTGCTCCCCAATGCAGCTAAGGTATGGCCCTCCACCTGCCCTGGGCCCAGGGGCTGGGTATGGCCGGGTCCTCCTTCCTCAGGCTGGCGCCTCTGAGTGGAGGCCTTGGGTCTGCACAGCCAGCCACGCTCACCTCTGTCAGGTGGCCCTGAGGTCTAACTCAGTTCAGCTCAACACATGAGGATCATGCACCTGCTACCTGACAGGCATTGTGCTAGGCCCTGGGGTCATGGTGGTAATGTGTGGCCCCCATCCTGACGGAACTCGGGAGCTGGTGATGCTTCCTGTGATGAGAAGGTGTCAGAGAGCCCTTCCTCCAGGCTCCTGGCAGAGGCCACCAGCCTCACGTGTCCCCAATTCTCCATCTCTATGCTCATTCCTGCCAGCTGACCTCATGCTCCTCTGTGCCTCTGTGAAACCTTGGGCCCGCCTTCTGTAGGCCTCTCACGTGCAGAAGCTCCCAGAGGGCAGGCGTCCTGCTCACACTAGTGCGCAGCCAGCCCAGAGTGGAGTGTCCATCATGGAGGCTTCATGACAGCAGCACATGGGTTCCTGTGACGGGCGGCCTAGACGTGCCCCACCTGTTGATTCACATCTCTCAGTGAGATGGGAGAACGGAGATGTTCCCCCCATACAGAGCAATTGTTTACAAAGCTGGCTGAGCACCGGCGCCACCATGGAGGGCTGTGAAAACCTTCACATTACTGGGTCTCACCCTCAGAGTCCGGAACGGATGGAGGGCAGTGCCGAGGAATGTGCATTTTTTCGTAAAGTACCCCCAGTGATCTGGAAATGGAACCGTCGTTGGGAGTCATCTGAGGCTCAGGTAAGATGGTGATCTGCAAGTTTCCAGGTTGCTTTTCTCTGCTGAGATGGGGAATCCTCAGAGCCGGGGAGGGTGCGGGAGGGTGGAGGGCACGCTGAGGAGAGCAGGAGACCCCACCCTACGCATGAAGGGTGGAAATGTCTGCCCTGTACAAACTGCCACCCCAGGCTGGGTCGTGGTTAACCTGGGAGGTAGGGGGAGCCAGACACTTGGCCCCAAGGCCTGAGCTCTGCCAAGAGGGGCTGGTCACTCCCCTTCCTAAAAACAGGGCTCCCCCTTAAAGCTGTCCTACAGTCCAGAATGTATGGGATGCTGTGTTGTGTGTGTGGCTCAGGAGTCCACCAGTAGCAGCCATAAACCTCACATCCTTGCCCCTGCATGTGGGAGAAGGGGAGGGGGCCCATTAAAGCCTTCTGGGAGGGAGGCCCCCAGTTTCTGCAGGACAGAGGAGAACCGGTTCTGTGTAGTACCTGCACCTGCTTTCCCGGTGGCTGGGTCAGGAGCAAGGCGCTGCCAGCTTGGGCCTAGACGGGGTGGGGGGTGGGGACGGGGAGCCAGATGGACAGTGAGACTGGGAACAGCTGACATGAGAAGGGATGCGGGGCCAAGTGATGCAGGGAGATGGGGACTGGCTGTTCGGCAACAAGCCTGAGAAGAGACCCAGAGGAAGTGGCTGTCACTGGAGCAGGAGGGATGGGGGTCAGATGTAAGGTGGACTTCCTGGTGGTGACAGAGGAGCAGGCAGCAGGGGTGGTGACCACAGTAGAGTGTGTGTCTCTACTGGGGACAATCAGGGCATTGAACCCAACAGGGTCTTGGGTGTGACAGGGTAGACCGGGCAGTGAATGGTCTGTTGTTCCCTGGCTCAAGATACAAGATGCCTCTGTCACTTTTCCCTTGGGAGTCAGCTCCTCATATTTAGGGGTTATGGGGGAAGGGAGATAGGAAAAAGGCCTGTCACCTTGGTGTCTTCTGGTCCTCCCCCCATCTGGGGACAGAAGGGTTCAGTGTGACCCAGCCTGAGGCCAGCCGGTTGCCGGGCACAGTGTGGTCTTTGTCCCTGGACCAGGGAGCTATCTGGGGCTGTCCCCGTGCAACTGGTGCCAGGGGAAGGAATTGATGGGTGTCCAGGGATGCTGGCCTGGCCGGGGCAGGCTGGTGGGTGGTGAAAAAGCAGAGACCCCTCGCAAGCTGGGGCGTGGGCAGGCACTCCCTGAACCAGGCCTGCCCTCCTGCCCCCCAGCCCAGGTAAGCTGTAAAGCTCTCAGCCTAACGCCTGTCACTTCTTCCTGGTACACACTGGTCGGCCTGAACTGCCTGCTGGTGCCAGAGAAGCGGGTGGCACGGGATGAAGGAGCCAGGCCGGGAGGGAGTCAGCCTGCCCACAGGCCACTGTGCTCCTGTGAGAAAGGCCCGCACTCCTGGAATGTGAGCAGGACAAGGAACTTCTGGATCCCTGTCCCAATCCCTCGGGCAGCCATGAACCCTCGGACTCCGAGGGAAGCCGACTTGCTCAGATTCATGCAGCAATCTCCTGGCTGTTGCCAAGCACACAAACTCCACGACCACAGGGCTTTCTTCTCCCGTGTGAACTCTCCCCAGCCTGCGCCCCCACTGTGGCCGAGGCTGTAGGTGCTCGTCTCCCCTCCTGGTCTTTTCTACCCCCACCCTGAATTCAAAGCCATACAAGCCCAGCCTCTAATTCTGGTGCCGCCACCAGCAGGCTGTATGATGGTGACGAAGCTACATAATCTCCCTTCACTTTGGCTCTGACCATACACTTGACTATTATTTATGGAACGGCCACTATGTGCCAGGCACTGTTACAGACCCTGAGAATCCACTTATGAAAGAAACAGACACTGATTCCTGCCCTGAGGGTAACTTACATTTTAATGGTGGGGGACAGCACAGACAATAAAATAAATTTAAAAATACGCAGTACGTTAGATGGTGACAAGTGC